ATTAGCAATTTTCCAGCTTAATTCTGCGCCCAACAGTTCTCAATGGGATTACAATCTGGAGACTTTGCAATCTTGTAACGTCCTTCTGCTCGAGATAATCCTGTACAATATGCACACTGTAGAGAGTGGCATTGTCATCCTGGAACACAAAGTTATTGTCAAACCTTGCCCTAGCATATGGCAGAATTATCATCTCCATATGATGCCTGTAGGAGGCGCCATTGACGTTTCCCTGAGGATATGGAGAGCAGTTTTTCCACCATGATGAATAGCTGCCCAAACATGTACTGTACCACCTCTTGTGTGTTTCATGTGGGAACGACAGTTTTCCCTCATCTTTTCTCTAAGCAAACGACGAACACGAATCCTATCATCAGCTTCAACAAGCCAGAAATCGGACTCATCTGAAGAGATGACATGTCGCCAGTGTCCTAACTGTAAGTTGGTATGCTGCCTTACCCAAGTAACACGGTGACAGCAGTGAATTCTAGTTAACATCGGTTTGCAAGTAGCCATTCTTGCAGAATAACCTTGTTTCGTCAGTCTCCCATTCATTGTTCTTATGGATACCCTGGAGTTAATGTGTTTATGTCATTCCCGTCGTAAGGTGTTGCAAGACTTCTTTCGATCTTGACGTGTTAACCTGATCAAAACACGGACAATAGTTTTTCGGTGTCTACTCAGTAGATTTCCTGAAACAACGTTTTCTGTAGTCCGATGTCGTTTGAGGATTCTGGATACAGTACATTATGGGCATCCTACTGTTTTGCCCATGTCAGTTTGCTTCATGCCATTTCTGGACAGTTGAAGAATTTGACGCTCTATATCTTCTGCCACGTGACGAGGCATGACTCTACACTAAGTACAGAGAAATTGTCCGAACAAAGCGTTGATCTGTTTGGAGAAATATTATACCAAGAGCACACCCTTTTACTCAAAACGTGTGTATGTGTGTTTTGACGAACAAATGTTCAAAACAACTTGTACAGTCTAGAATAAAAACTCGTACATGTTTGTCCGATCATACACTACCTTCTCTGGAATTTAATAACTACCCCGTGTATGTAGACAATAACATCAATATAGAACAGTATGCAAACATTTTGGCCAGGATTGGACACATTTATTGTTCTACTGGTGTTCCTGATCAATGGCAATTACACACACACACACAAACAAACAAAAAACAGTACTTATTCTTTCCAGTTATAACCTTCTTGTTTGAAAACTCGTGGTTAATCTCAAGATGTTTCTTTGCTAGTACAATTATGTGTCTTACGTACATGGCCGGCATGGTCAGGTGGTTAAGGCGCTCGACTCGCAACCTGAAGATCGCGGGTTCGAATCCCCGTCACACCGAACATGCTCGCCCTTTCAACCGTGGGGGCGTTATAATGTGACGATCAATCCCACTATTCGTTGGTAAAAGAGTAGCCCAAGAGTTGGCGGTGGGTGGTGATGATTAGCTGCCCTCCCGCTAGTCTTACACTGCTAAATTAGGGACGACTAGCGCAGATAGTCCTTGTGTAGCTTTGCGCGAAATTCAAAAAACACAACAATCTTACGTACATAGGTATTCACCATGCACAAGATAGAATTTGTGTAGAGCTGGAAATCTGATATTCGTATCGAGCACAAAAATATTAAGGTTTTAAGATCAACTTTCACTAACAAACGTTAACGTGAACTTTCAGTCTGTTTCATTCCACAACCATCAAACTGTTTTGGAAGCTTATTACTCTTAACATATTGGCTTTGTTCTTTTCTCTGTAGGATATAGTGTGTCAATTAACATCTGATAAGTACGTCTTTTGATTGGTTGGTTGATGAATCAGCAATTCCTGCTAACGCAGTTTTTGTGAAAAACCTTCAGCTCTTCTCAGAAAAGAAATCCTAAACCAAGATGTTTCGCTTCTTCAGCGAATCCTTTTCAGTTGATAAAAGCGAAAAAAATAGGATCTATGTTCGCTTATAATGGAGGATGTTTAATAAAAGTAAAGTGGGCGTTCTTTATAGATAGTTGTTAGGTTTGTGTATTTTTATTAATAATTCATCCATAATTTATATTTTGTGTGCGCCTTATTCGCTACCCAATATCTTTGTTTTTTGTAGTTTAAAGGTTACTTTTTATATATGTTCCTTTACAGTAATTTTAGATGTCTGCTAGTTTCACTAATATATGTAGACTCGCTGTTTTCATACTTAATTTGATAAACAGGTCTATTTGTATAGTCTTCATTATTGTAAAGTTTGTTTATTTTGAGTTCAGGTTTCTAACATAACAGCAGTCATGGGCTCACAAAACTTTCCAGCGTGTATCTACTGTATTTCTTTAGCAATAAAATGAAGGGGATGGTCATACATAATCAAAAGGGTTTGCTCTGGATTTAAGTGATCCATTGTTTGAGTTGACTGTGAAATGGGTGGCAACTGCCTGTTAGAGCAACACTTGTAGAAATATATTGGTGACTATACAATCTTCTTATGCAGCTCAAGTGTAGAGGACAGTGTTTTTAAAGTTTTTCGTCTTCAGGTCAGCTTGTGCGATTACCCTGCATTAGTCATGGTGGGAATTTTGGTTTAAATTTTCCTAAAAGTTAATAAATGTTAAATTTAAAGGAAACAACCGGGGATGCTCAGAAAAGTTTTTCTCTTCATCCCGCTCGTGGTAAAGGATATTGTTACTTGATAAGGGTGATTCAGCCAGTACATGGAAAAGTCTGAGGAACCTGTGCATAACACTTGCTACACTGAGGATAGTGATAGGCGTCGGCGAAGTCGTGAGAAGACGAAAGCAGGAAGGAGAAGAAGAGAGCCGAAAGAAGATGAAGGAGAAGGTTTGTGCTGCTTGTTGGTGTGAGAAGGACCAAGGCTATATTATTTACCACGTTTAATGTCAATCATTTTACTCACACTAAGTTCTTAAACCCACTAGGTTCTACCCAATGCCGTTTTCAATCCATTTTCAAATTTTTATATTATATTTCACCATTGAAAACCCTAATGCTATTTTTCAGATAGTCAGCTTGTGGAAACTACTGCAACAGGCCTTATATAGTATCCAGATGGATAGAGGTGACGTGCTTTGATTGACTGTTTGTTCCTGGTTCTGATTGGTGGAGCGACTGAGTGTGGATTCAACCAATGGTAGCCATAAGTTGCTGATTTCTAGGCCCGAGTCTCTGTTTAATGAAGGTTTTATTGTGTTGATGAAGAAAGATTCCTTTATTTTTCTTGTTTTCAAAAATTTGCCTGAGTCAATTATTCTAGCTTTGTTCCAATGTGTCCAGTTCGTATAGCATGTTCTGCAATAGCTGAATTCTGCGTTTTCGTTAGTCTTGTGCTATCTTTGTGTTCTTTTATTCTTTTTCCGAGTTGTTTTCTCGTTTCTCCAATGTATGTTTCGTTATAAGAACATGGAATTTCATAGATTACGTTTCTGTGTTTCTCGTTAGTGGGTTTTTGTTTAATTTTGACCAGGATCGATCCTATTGTTTTGTAAGATTTCCAGTGAACGTCTGTGTTGAATTTCTTGACTATACGTTTGAGTTTTTCACTTACATTTTGTACATAGGAGAGGTAAATAGTAGGAATAGTATTCTCCTTATCTTTTCTTTCTGTTGTGGTCTTTTTTAGGGATTTGGTGATGAAGGTAGAGATAAGCAATAGTTTCATTAGGTTGTTCCTTTTCTTTGTAAATCACCAATCCGACAAATAAAATACCATGAATTTTATATTCATTTTCAGAGAAGTGATCACAAGCTTTTTCACTCAGTTGTTTGCTACTAACTCGACTCTAGAGGTGTTTTAAGCAATTGCTTTGAAATTTTTCTCTATGGCAACCATATCTTTGTGTCTGCGTACACTTCAACATCCATTATCAATATTGCACCATCATGAAATGGCTTCTTGTCTACTATTAAGTCACACAAAAAACAGACATCTTAAACCATTGGTGTGTTGGGTTATTTGACCGAGTGTTCTTGTGTGATATCATGTGGCTTGTTTTCGGTTGAGTTATTTCTGCCTTGGTATTGAAGTGCTTTACAAACTGATGCACTTAGATTGGCTCTACAAAATCTGTGCTGTTTTTCAATGTTGGAAATTATATCTCCTTGCTCAAGTGAGTTGGAACTGATGGTGCTCCTACCCCTAATTCATTGAAATAATAGGCTCTTTGGTAAGTGACATATAACTAAATCTTGAAAGACATCCGACCTATACACGATAGACCTTCATTGATTTCTTTTGTCATAACACATATTTCTCTTTAGAAAGCTTCTATCATCTTTGAAGAACTAGTCACGCCCTCTAAGATAAACCTGAGAAGATCAAAACATATAATTAAAAACCACGGATCTGGTGTCACTTGTTATATGTAAAATATGTCTCATAGTCCATCAGTTATCTAACATCTGATACCACTTGTTATATGTAAAATATGTCTCATAGTCCATCAGTTATCTAACATCTGATACCACTTGTTATATGTAAAATATGTCTCATAGTCCATCAGTTATCCAATATCTGATACCACTTGTTATATGTAAAATATGTCTCATAGTCCATCGGTTATCCAATATCTGTAATCACTTGTTATATGTAAAATATGTCTCATAGTCCATCAGTTATCCAATATCTGATATCACTTGTTATATGTAAAATATGTCTCATAGTCCATCAGTTATCTAACATCTGATAACACTTGTTATATGTAAAATATGTCTCATAGTCCATCAGTTATCCAATATCTGATATCACTTGTTATATGTAAAATATGTCTCATAGTCCAACAGTTATCCCACACTTTCAAAATCTTAATGATCCAAAATTTTATAACGAGAAACTCAGAATGCTATGTTAGTCAAGTGTGCATAGTTATTTCAAATTTTGCAGTCCTGCTATATTTGTGTACGTTTCAGGTTTAACCAGAATCAGTTCCTGACACTGTAACATTTTGATTGGCAGTAGTTAACAGTATATTTTATTATTACTTACAGGTGATGACCTAATTACACCTATCTTCATTCCGCCCACCTCCAGACCACGACGTCTTTCGACACCACAACCCCCTCTTCGAACCAGTCCACGACCAGGAGAAATAAGGCACAGTGATGAGACACTGTGTGACGACGAAGAAGGATGTGGAGAGGGGTCAGGGATAGAGGATGTCGTCGTTACTAATCCACCTTTTAGCTATAATATTCCGGATAAAACAGGACCTGTATCCCGAGAACCAGCATCAGATCCACCTCAGCTCCTCCCATCTTCTTCCACGACTAGTGTTTGGAATATGGTAAACAAAGGTGATGCTCAAATCAATGCATGGAATGCAACGACCACGTGGAAGCCTAACAGTTACATTTCCACGCATAACCCGCCTTCTGTGTTTCAAGTTCCTATTCCAAATGTAAACAAAAATGACCAAGACCTACATAAACCAAATAAGAAACCTAAAAGTTCTGCCGACAACACCGCTTTAGTTATTGGCATCTTTGCAGGCGTTTTGATATCTATAGTGTTAATTGCCTTGATCGTATACAAGCTAAGAAACCGAACAGACGGTGCATATAAAATTGATGAAAGTAAAAATTACCACTTTGATCCTATTTCTAACAGTCCTTCTCTACTTGCTGGACAACAGCATGTCAACGGCATCCTGAAGTCAACAGAAAAAGCACATAGACTCCCTAAGAAAAAGGACATTAAGGATCTCAAAGAGTGGTATGTGTAGGTTTGTCCGACCATGGGTTTTCTCTTGATATTTTATGGACTGAGAGATCCGAAGTGCCATCAGGAGAAACCCTACAAAATAAAATGACTTATCATAAAGAAACATTTGATGTATTCCCGTGACTATCTACAGTAAAAATTGGATTGGTTGCGAAGTAGAAAAGTTTTAAGTGGGAACATTTTGAACCAGTGAGAGTAGACACATGTTAATGTGTACCTACGTGGACTGTCTGATATAATTTATTGATTGAAGAATGTAAAGGCTGGTGAATTATCACAAAATTACGGACTTTTTCAGTACTATGCTTTTGTTCATTTATGTGCGCAAATACTGTGTGACCTTACAACGCCTTTCGCACTTCGGAATGTAATAGTGAGCTGGATTTGAAAAACTTCACGAACATTATAAGTCGCGAGTAGGATTAGACTGATCAGACTGTCTTGGATCGCGCGGTATTCTTGTCTGTTCATTGTATAAGTAATTATTTTGACCAACAGTAACCACTTGGCACGTCTATGTTGTATAATGTAAGCATTTACTTTATGGAACTATATCTTTCTCAAGTTGGTGGTTCTCCAAAGCTGGGTTCATCCAATCAAACCCCACACATTCAGGTCCTAATTTTGATGTTTTACTGTAGCTAATTTTAAGATATTCATCCCTATTTTTATTAACAGTGAACAAATACGAATCCGTGTACACACAAGCGATAAGCAGTGTGGATGCTCTTATTTCCGATCCTTTAAAGCTATGTTTCGTTATAAAGAAATAACGATTGAGGAACCGTTTCGTTCAGTTTTATTTCGGCGTTTTTAAACTATGACTCAAAGTACCAAGCGGACAGAAGATACATACACTAGTGTCTTCTGTCAATATAGTCTGTAAATATTCCGTCGTATGCATTATTATATCCAATGCCCCTTTGCTTTAGCGATGTTTTAGATATATATATATATACAAGTACGAGAATACAAAACATTATAACACTGTAGAACTTTGAGACTTAAATTATTCAAATACGAGCTTCATTTGTATGTGTCTGTAAGCATATTTAAGAAAAGATAATTGTAATTTAAACCTTCGCTACTGATTCTTAGCACATTAACTGTTTTTTGTGTTTTGTCAGTTGCTAGGCTACATTTCGGTCAGACAACTTCTTGGCTGCCAGTGTTTGGTCGTTGTTTGATGTATAGTATCCAATCGCTGTAAAGAGTGATCCGCTGTAGTACTCAAGAAGTGATGTGATGAGTATATTATTGATAAAATTCGTCAGTGACGGAAAATTGAATACTGTAAGGGCTGTGTTAATACGGTGTGTAATACGGTTATTCGAGATTATAGCATAGCTGGTGATACGGATAATCTGTTGAACATAAGACACTTAGTCACCACTGATAAAAGTATACTGTTATTTTTTTATGTAAGCAGCAACAGGTCCACAGTTCTCTGTAAGTATTCTTTTGACAACAGACAAAAATCGTACATAAAAATTATAATTTACATTTCTATGACACACAATATTGAATAGTTTTGAATGCTTAATTGGTCGTTTATAATTGATTAACGATGTTCATAAGGTAGTAAGTAATAAACATTTCTATAAAATAAATAAGATTATGAAGAAAAAGTGTCCAAATTGAATCGATCACTTTCACTTGTATTCTTTAATTTTATTTACCACAGTAAGTTTATAAATGTGGTTATAACAACTAGTTATACTTGAATTAATTTCAACAGCGCTCTATGAGAGTGAAAAATGTATTCTTATTGTATGTATTATCAGTATCAAAAGCAAAATGTGTGGGGACAAAGTTCCAGGTGAATCGGGCTTATTAGAAGTGTCCCCGCTTAAGGTTAACATTGATTATTTGGGCTTCTTTTGGTGTAATTGGGGTCGAAATACGAGCGAAATTAATGTGAATGATTAATTTATGATCTTTCATTTTTATATTAATTTCTTTATCTTTTTTTTTTTTTACTTTATCTCCAACTACAAAATTCATTTTACAATCTTTTTATCCTTATAATGAGTAATTATTTTGGAATAAAAATAAAAAGTCAAGTTGTGGCAATCGTAAACCTACTGAGACTTACGAGGAGAGACGAAGTAGATGGTGCCCCCCTACTGGAGATGGAGAGGCCCTTGCCCCCATGTTTTCGTCTCCTGTGGGTATTGTTTCAACTTTACTTTGTCGTTACCTCTACTGTTTTATTTTAATTCTGTTTTGATTACAGATTTAGTCGTTACTTCTAGAAAGTTATTAAAATTTTCACATACATTAAAGAGCTTACTGTAAACATTTTAAGTTGTTGTTTGTTTGTTTTTTTACTTCGATTTAAATACTCTCATCTCTGCAAAAATTGCTAGAATTCTTCAGATTTTTTATAATAAGAGGTGGAAAGACCCCGATACTTATAATGCTGAAATTCAGTTTACTGTGCAGCTCTGCACTGAAACAAATAAACATATAAAACAACTTTAAGCGTCAATTGAGATTCGATATGGTACTGATTGAAATGTTTGTAATCCTTCAGCTTAGACACTTAGATGGTTGTTTGTTTCCAGTTTTATAGAGCAGAATTGTTATGTTTTATTTAAGGCTTCTTATTTTAAGAAATGAAGTTATCAATACTTAATTAAAGTCTCTCCTCATATAAAAGTACAATAATTCTGTTTTATTTATACTTACTATTTATAAGTAATCAAATTATCTACAGTTTCTCCTCTTGTGGTCAATTTTATTTACGGTTTCTTTTTATGAGGAATAAAGTTACATAATTCTTTTATATATTTTTTTTATCTTTTGGAGTAGACTGAATCAGTTTTTGTATTATTACATTTTACATAGGTTAGAATTCGATTTTATTTTTACAGTAGAAGAAAAATGATCCAGTTTTCTTTGTGATTGCTCCTCACGTGAAATATAAGTATTCACGGCTGTTTATAGTTTCATCACAAATGGGATGATCCAGTTTTATTTATAGCTTCAATTTATAAAGAAAATATGGTGATCCACACATTTATGTGTTGTTATAAGAAACTGTTTACATTGATTTTTGTGTCCTTTAGTTGTTTTCTTGTAATAAGAATATTGAATCCGAAAGGAATATGATCAAATTGTTTAGGATCCATGTGAATTGTTTCTCTGTTGTTTTTTATAGTTATTGTTTATGACCGTTAGAAATTATAAAAAAAAGAGATTTGCAAGAAACTTTTTAATTAATTCAGTGAACAAAATATAGAAATAATTAACATTTGCAAGAAGTATTGTTATACTAGCAATGCAAACAGAAAATATTAATGATATTATTATTATTTAAAGCAGTCTCAGTATTGTACTCAAACATGTTTTCTGTGGTTATGTCAAGTAAATTAATCATAACAACAAATAAAATTCATACAAATACTACTGTGTTTGAATGGAAGCAATAATAATTGATTAAATAGCAAAGCAATATGAGAAATGCTCAAAAGAGGCCACGATTATCAATTCCGAACTGCATATTATCAATCATTGTTAGATATAAATGGAAATGTATTTAATTAAATATAGAGTAATATATAAATTATTATTATTAGTCCTAACAATCTTCTTTGTACGTTCTAGCATAACAGCAGTTAAGCGAATTCACATTTTTTACTCTCTTTGAGTAAAACTCGATGACATTTGATTGTTATTCAGAATTTGTGGTGAATACTGGAGGGATTTAGACATTTTTGGTGATAAATTGGAAAGAAAATTACCTTTATTCTCCAGCCACAATGGCGAAACACTGGCTGATATAAAAATTTTCTTTATTATTATCTGGAGAGTAAATGTCTTTTTTTTTTCTTAACTTTATTGCCACGATGACATTTTACCTTAGTTTTCATTCATACAATAAATAAATATATATATATATATATATATATATATGAAAACTTAATGCCCCCATTGACACAGCGATAAGTCTGCAGACCTACAAAGCTAAACTTCGGGTTTCGATGCCTGTGGTGGGCAGAGCATATATAGCCCATTATTATGATACAAACAAACAGAACCTACTGTTTTAGGTAAAATGTATTGTTTTGTAGATATATGAAAATGTCTTTCGTATGTTCAAGTTATTTTTGAAGATGTTCATACAGACAAATTTCATTGCTATGCCTCAAAAATTATTTTAAAAGTGTTAATATAATAGTTTAGGTATTTCGTGCCATAGGTACACGGGGTAATTATTATTTCGGTAATACGCTTATTAAATTTCTTCAGCTATTTATTCCTATATAGAGTTTTCAATTATTTACTTTGTTAAATTGAAACAGTTGTTCATGATTCTTGCTAAGTGACATTTAAAGCTGTCGTTTCAACAGGCACTTCCAGTGTTTGTAAATGATAGTAAAAAATACATAGGATCAAAAAACTTGGTAAATTACATAAAAAAAAGCAAAAGATAAACGCCTATAGTACTTTGGATATGTGGATCTGTCTTCTTCGATCCACCTTTTGAAAGTACTAGAGTTTTATCGGGTTTTACTTCAATCCTTGTATTTTTTGTATAAAATGTTGTAATAAATAATGATGACATCACCTTCGTATTCTCCCCTCCCTCTTACAGTTATATTTCCGAAAATTGGGCATTCATGGATATACCATTCTGATTAATTAACTAGGTGAACTTTCTTGGTTTTGAAATATACTTTCATTTTATAGAATGCGGGCAATTATTTTATTCGTGGTTTTGTAACGGGATTTTTGTCTTAATATTCTACGCGAAATATTTAGATACTAGTAACGTGATCCATTGGAAAACAAATTCAGTAAAGTATTTAGCTAAAATTTACTACTCCACTTATCCGGCGGCATGCTTTCACATATACCATCAGAAAAAGACAGAAGACTATCCACTTGCAGTAATTGTTTGTTTATAACTGTCCACCTCAAGAATTACAGCAAAATCTTTCTTGTTACATCCAAACTTTATGCAATCAACGTGAAGAAAACTGGGTCTCAAAATGGAATAAAAAGTATTCATAGCGTTATAAGGAAGTTATTTTAAATTGTCAATTGTATGTTCTACTGAATGATGGACGTAAACAGCACTTTGTAAAATTATAACTTAAAAAAAGAGCGTGTATATATATATATATATATATATATTAGATCTAGTGAATTCAAGAAAGAACAAAAAAGTACAATTAAGGACACCGTATAAAAATATAATGGTTGTGGTTTATAAACTGTACACCCAAAATCAGTTTAATATATTCTAGTTTGTCCGCTAAGAAATATAGACAATTTCGCTTTAGATTTTCCTTGTATCTCTTGAGGACTTTTGTGATCCACTTCCTTGTATTTAGGATGAATAAATAAACGCTTATCATTGATATTGTTGTGAGCAACTGTTATATTCAATTAGAATAATAAAAACCATTCTCACCTCACTAAACTTCAACACGGTATTACTTTAACCAAACTATGGAATGCAATGTATTTGTACATATCAGGGTCACAAACGTTGAGCTGCTTCTAAACAGCCCCCCAGTGGACTTACAACGATAGAACCCGGGTTTCGATACCCGTGGTGGGCAGAGCACAGATAGCCCATTGTGTAGCTTTGTGCTTAACTACCAACAAACAAAGCTTCTAAACAACTGTAAACTTTGAATATGTTCAAGTTAGTAATAACGCTCAAACTTATTAGATAAATTATACAATATATATGTTATTATTTTAGTAAGAAATGTTCAGAAAGCACTAAGACAGTATCATACTTAACGCTAAATAAAGTACTCGTAAGACGGCAAAAGATTGAGAAAAACTATGTTGTATGACTGTGTCTTTTAAAAACACTTAAGTATACATTATAAAATAAATTAGTACGTGCGCTCTAGAAAGACAGTTTGTTAGACCGTACACTTTTGAAAAACAATATATTAGATTAAGCATTTTGTGCAAAATAATATATTAAATTGTGCATTGTAGAAACAATGGTATATTAGACCATACAGTGTAGAAAAAAACATGAGAGACAATGTATTAGATTGTACATTAGTAGTTTCTTTTTGAGTTTATTTGATAATTCAATATATTTTATTACAAATTACAGCTTTTACTGCAAAATAAGATTTGTTTTTAGAACAAGTACGGCGTTTCGATCACTGCTACGATCTTTCTCAAGTTTACTTTCTTTATCCTTAAAACTTGTGTACTTCAGAATTATCGCACCAGTGATCGAAACGTCGTACCTGTTCCAAATCTTTCTTACTGTGAAATCTGTAACTTGTAATAAAATAATAGATTGTACATTGTTTAAAACAATATATTAAGTTATGCACTGAATAAAAAATATTATATCATTTTTTATTTGAATTTTGCGCAAAGTTATTAAGCCTAACTGCGCTAGCCGTCCCTAATTTGGACTAGAAGAAAGCAAGTTGGTCAACACCACCCACAGGCAACTCTTTTACCAACGAATAGTGGGATTGACCGTCACATTATAACGCCCCCACGGCTGAAAGTGCGAGCATGTTTGATGACGGGGATTCGAGCACCCCTAACCACCAAGACAAAATTAGATTATGTATTTTAGAAAAATCAATATACTAAAGATTAATCGCACTTCATAAGAACGGTGCTTCAGGCCCCATGTTCCTCTACTGTCGATCGTGTTATATTTCACTGTGCATTTTTAAAACAATAATATATATACTAGCAATAGTACCAGTAAATGCCCGGGCTTAAAAAGTAATACTATCAAAATGGGGGCATGGGCCACCCACTTCCATTCTTTCGAGCTGTACACGCGAACCGTTCCTTCAATGAAAAAGTACAAGTACTACGTGCAACATTAAGGCAGTAATACTGAAATGGTTGCCAAGTTTAAAATTTTCGTCGGATTGTTCATCCATATTAATTCCTTTCTTCGTCCGCCTGAGTAACTCTACTAAATTTCATCGAAACTGGTTCAGCCAGTTCCTCACAACAATTATTTTTGCCACCAAATGGTCAGACGAACAACTCTGCTTCAATATATATATAGTGTTCATTGCAGCAGTAAAAACCTTTTTTAAATCTCGTCCTGGTCGTTTCCATTTAGAAATAAAGTAGTGAAAATGATGAAACTAATTCGAAATTTCACGTACAATGAAGAAATTATACTCCAATGAGAAGTTGAAATATAGTAATCGTAAGTGTGAGCATTTATAAAGATGTATACAAAAGTTGCAAATAACTTATAGTAAGAATTTTGTAACACCAGTTTTTTATTGTTATTGTATGTTTGCATTGTCTTGTATGATTGGGCAGAAATGACGAAACGACAGAGACGAATAGCCCACTTTTGGCGATTCCCTCTTCTCCGAAATGTTGAGTAAAATTATGCTGTCTTATCAGTAGTTTTCCTTTCTATGAACGCTTTTGTGTTTTGTTCATAAATGTGAAACGTTAATTTCCTATCAATATGTTTATTTGTAATGGTTGATCGTGCGTGGTACAAGTTCTACCTCGTATAGGTAAAGACATTTCATGGTGAAAAACCCACTTCAATTTTTTACACGATTGTTATTATTTACTTCAGACAGATAAAATGTTCACGTACTTTAGACATTCCTATGTGTAAAGAAAATATTAATTTCGACCTAAATCGACAAAATGGTTATGGTATTTAGGGCTTTGAACATTTTAATAATTTCCAAATAACATAGGATATCGTTTTGATAAAAAACAAAAACGTAAAATTGATCTTAAAATTTAATTGAACATCAAAGTTGGTCAACCCTCCCAATACTTTTGTCTTCTCTTTTCTGTTATCAGTTTCTAGATTTTCTTCCAAAAACGTATAGCTCAGGTTTAAACTCATTACATTCTTTACTGTACTATGGATTGAGAATTCTCTTCACGCAATGAAAATCAACAATCTATATAAATAACTAGCTGGAATATCCGTCCCCCCTAGACGGACGTTATGTGAATTCATGAAAATTTATCTTACGACATGAAAAGTTACTTCCCTTATA